CTCCGGACGCAGCCTTGGCGAGAGCTTTTTCAGTACCTGCTCCTGCCTGTCACACCAGGCGTCCTCTGACCTTTTCTTTGATTCAATCCAAGCTGAAGGAGAGAAAAAGGATGGTCTGGCGGCTGTAAATCTGACCTGGGAAATGCAGGCACAAATCCCAGCTCTGGCGCAGACTCCCTGGGGGCCCTGTCCAAGTCGCGCACACGCCCCCGCCCGGCCTTTCCTCTCTTCCCTTCTGCTTAGATCACACACCACATCCTTGCTAATGCTGCAGGATCCCGCCAGGAGCAGCAAGGACTACCGCACAGACCTTGGCGATGACAACAAAAGCCACAGACAACTTTGAATGAGCCCTGAATTCAAACTGTCCGCATAAGCTTAAGACCAAGCCAAAGAGAGATGGCTGATGGAAATGCCTCTTTTGGAACAGGAGCTGGAGCTTGGGCCAGTGCATAGAAACCTAAAGTGAAATCAACTTCAGTGCCTGAAGGGAGAGAAATACGGGATGTGACCAGGCCAGGATGGGGAGGGATCTGGGAAATGGACTCTCCTTCCCTCCCTTGCAACACGCTCAGGGGGTGCAGACAGCTGGAGAAGAGGGACTCATTAGTAAGCAGCACAAGGGCTTTCCTACCGCCCCCGTGTCTCTTTAAAGAGAAGCTACAAAATACCATCTAGGCTGCTCTGCGCTGCAGCTATCCCGGAGGGACTGCTGGAATTAAGAGATTAAAAGGGCAGCTCCTGACAGCCAGGTATGCTCTGCAGAGCGCTGGGAAGCTGGGAGCTGTCCTGGGTAGTTCTCTGTGTCTGCTAATGCCTCTGGGCTCAGGCGGTGTCTGTATCGGTCTTTCTAGCTCTGGTGATTGTTGGTTCGGTTCTGCTGCTGGCAGCAAAGGCAGCACAAAGAGCTTGCACGAGGGACAAAGCAGAAGCTGGCATTGTAACAGGACTGCTGGACCCTGGTGAGAGCAGGCAGGGATGATACAGCAGTGGGCCCACACCAACCCTCCTAACTCTGGATCCCAGCTGGTGCTGGTAGGATGTTTGAGGGAAGAGTTGAACCTAGCTTTAGTTCAACACCTCATGTAGCTCCTAGCATGGGTATGGAGATACAGCAGCTTTCGCCGGAGATGCATCACAAACCACAGCTCTGCAGGGCAGAGAAAGCTTTCTGGTTTTGAGTCAAGCCCCAGCCACTTGGCTGCTCTAAAGCTCCTGCAGCTACTCCAATGATTTTCATTGCAAAAATGATTTTTGGGGGAAAAATGTACTCAGTCTGATTTTTTTTTTTTTTTAATTAAAAACAAATAAATGCCCCCTTGCCATTCCCACCAAGCTCTGGGGAAGGAGGAACGGGAGGCAGAGGAGGGAACCACCAAAACCACTCGGAGAGAACATTTAGAAAAAAAAATAAAATCAACCTCATCCAAATTTCCCACAAGCCCAAATTTTTCAGCCAGAGAAACAGCACAGAATCACCCCCTCCAAATGCAGGTGCCTCACTCCAGAGGCTTGAGCTTCCACACACACCCACGTGCTCCCCACCTTGGCCTTTATTCCATTTTGGACACGCCACTCTGGAGCACGCTTGCCAAGTGCAGCGCTGCACGTAGCCTGGGCTGCTGCTCTCTTACTACAGCTCCGCCATGCAGGGCAGTGCTTTCCCTCTGCTCCCGTTGGGCACAGGCCACTGACAACAGGCCAGGCACTTTGCTCTCAGCTTCGCTCCTGGCAGGGAGCGGGGCTGGAGGCAGCAGATGGTTGCATGCTCTGCCACCTCACTGCACAGTTAGCTGCTTGGGCCACAGCGCAGTGCCAAGGTTGCTTTAGAAGGTGGCACAGGGCCCGCAGGCCGCACATCGGCCACCACTACCGTAAACAGCTTCCTCCTGCCTCCAATTTCAGAACGCAGCAGCGAGTCCTGGCACAAATGGGCACCAGCAGGAGCCACTGCAGCATTGCCAGGGCCTTTGTAATCTGACTGCCGCTCCCCTGTGCCAGCATCACCCATGCTGAGACCTGGTCTGCACCACACAGATCTACCTCTGCTCCCCTGCGGCTAGAGTTACTCCATGACTGCTGGGCAGAGCAGGTCTTTTGCCACCGTCCAGCAGCCAGTAAAACACATCCCTTCAGTAACTCAGTGCCCTGATGCCACTGCTGCCCAGTAGAGCTGCTGGACTTCTGATTTTGGCTGCCTCAGCTGATGCCCCTGGGCAAGCTTCTCCACAGGTGTTGAGCACCTGCTAGTGCAGATGAAGGCCACGGAAGCTGCAGGTGCTCAGTGTCTCTGGCACCACGGATCCCAACGTGCACGTGCAAAGGCCCAAGCCTTCCTGGCTCCATATCCTCACCACCCCGATCTTGCCAGAGCACAGGGAAGGTCAGTACATGGACAAAGAGCACAGTCGGTCAGTCTGTCCTAGGTCCTTCCCCATGACTGAAATCAAAGGCCTTGGCCCTTCTCTGCAGCTTCCTGCCCTTCTTACCCAGCCCTTCCCTGCAGGGGAGGAGTTACTGGGCTGTTTGCTAGAAAAGAGAGCATTGGGTCCCTTGGGGCCAGCTGACTGGTGTCCCTCATGCTCCTCCACGCCGTGCGTAGGCTGATAACCTCACACTTCAAGGTTCACGTCTCAATGAATCACTGTCACTACTTTTGGCTAGGCTGTGAAAGTGCCCTCAGGACTTGATATAAGTTAATAGCCTAAGGAGGAAGCAGGCAGGAGCTCAGAAGTGAGACCACCTGGCCAGCACTGCTGAAACAGGATGCCTATGGATGCCATTTAATGGACAGGCATCAAGAGAGGGTGTTTGGGTCTCACCAAATACTGTGTGCAGGGACTGGCATGTCCAGCTGTCCAGGGCAAGTGGAACTCCATCCCAGCAAGAGCCATCCACCAGAGAAAGGAAGAACCAGCTCGTTCCCAGCCTTTGAGGTTTGAGCATAACCTTGTAAAGTTGAACCAAATGCAGGCAATGCTGCGTTTGGGGGGGGGAGTGTCGGGGGGGGGGCTGAAGAGGGTCGTGTCGGGGGGGGACTGAAGACAGCCCCACTGCAACAGCCAGAGGGTGAGATAAAGCAAAGGGGAGGCTGCTCCTCCAGTGCAACAGGCTGCGGAAAGGGAGTCTCGCAGATGGCCCCCCCACCTGCATCTCACTGCAGCCAGGAAACCGAGGAAACCGAGGTGGGTGGGTGGGATGAGCAGAAACATTCCCGTATTTCACAGCTGGTTTGTGGGCAGGCACAAGGGACTTCCCCTTCATCATACCCAGACTGAAGGCTGGCACACAAGTGAGGGCTATGGCCATCAGCTGTTGGGGCCCTGGCACAATGGTCTAAAGCAGGAACCCACGCCTGCAGACCGCCAGTGCCACGAGCAGATGGACAGCACCATTCCAGCCAAGAAGGGCATTGGCAGCACTTCTCCATGGCACACAAGCTCCAGCAGCCAGATTGTTCGCTTCAGCTCAGCCAGCAATGGATCAAGTCCAGAAGAAGCCGCAGAGCTGGTGCAGGTCCCTCGGTCACTGGAGGGTGGGAGCACCAGGCAAAGCAGTGCCATGCAGTGCACAGCAGTGAACCCACATCACCAAGCCAGGAAGCTGCATGGAGCTTCCCTGCAAGCCTTCCCCAGCCAGCCAGAACATTTCCCCCGAGGCCCAGGGAGACCGCCTTTCCACCGCTCGGCTTGGTTTTAAATAGAGCATTTTCCCAAGCTCTGCAATTAAGCTGCGATCACTCAGGGAGCTGAGGAGCAGGCTGGTTTGCCTGGCACCAGCGAGTCTGTCACGCCAAGCAGAGCTAGCATTAACTCGGCGCAAACAGGGGCAGGATGCTGGATCCCAGGAGCTGGGGAAACCAGCCCTCCCTCCAACACAGCCCCCAGGACAGCCAGGTCCCTGGAGAAGCTGCTCCAGACACCTCCCACCTGCTGCCTCTTCTCACAAGCAGGCAACACAAAGAGCTTCTGATCAGAAGAGACACCACTTAAGATCCAGTGTGGGGTTCCCAAGCCCCACGGCAGCCAGGGAGACGCCCAGCCAACTCCTGGGAACGAGCCAGCTCCATTCTCCCTACAGGGCAATGCATTTTCCCTGCGATTCTCAGGCGCAATAAATATTCCACATCTCCTCAGGGCCAAACCTCTGCCTGGCAAATAATCAACGCATTCAAGGCCCATTCATGTTCTTGTGGCTTTCGACTGTGCTGCCAGTGCCCGACCCCCTGCACTGCACTGTGCTGGCCCAACCATGCCCTACCACACATCAGACCCAGCACAGTTGAGCTTTGCTGAAAACTTTCTGGGGAACAACAGGGGAAGCTGCAGATACTCTGCATGTTTTTCCCCGAGCACCCTTTCTCCAACACCCCCGGACTTAGCTCTCCTCGCTCTGGTCTGACTCCTCCACACAAAACCACATGGTGGTCAGGAGACTCTCACCCCAGTGAGGAGGAAGGGTGGACCCAAGCACCAAACCGCACCACACCCCATGAGTAACAGGCCCATCACTGTGTTTCAGTGGCACCAGGTGAAACCTCAGCTGGAAATTCTAGTCCAGGCCCCTGGCATGAATCTGCCACTGGGGTGAGAGCGGGGAGGGCTTCCCTGCTCCAGGGCTGAAAAGGATCACGCTGATTTTAGTGCCGTGCTAATGCTCTCCAGTGGAGGCAGGGGAACAGGGGGAAACCTTGGGGATGAAGGGCTTTATCTAAACAAGGCACTACCTATCTATGACATGCAAATTAGAGGGTTACCTTATTTGTATAAAACTAGGTCTTAGGCCACCTATGGGGATCTCTGGGGCCATTGCCTTCCTGCCAATGGCCAAGGTCCACTAAGGAGTTACTCGGTGGGGGTTTAAAATGGTTCTTCTCATTGTCAAAAGGGAAGAACAGAGTTACTGATTATTACCCACAGTGGAAAGGGCCTGGAAAAGCTCCTGTAGCAGCCCTGCAGCACAGAGGTGTAGTGAGGATAGAAATAAGAAGCCCCTCTCACCTAGACGGAGCTCCCCAAAATTGCCACATCCGATCTTCTTCCCGACCCGGAAGTTGGGGCCCACCATTAAGACTCCAGAGTTGGTCCCTGTGCTTCGGCTCCCATGGCTGCTCCTTCCTCCGCCTGCCTTGGACATTCTTTTGCCTTCCTCCGTCTCCCCTTTCCCTCCTCTCTTATCAAAATCCATAAGTTTGTGATACCCTGGCCTCTCCACGGTTACGCCACTGCCATACAAATCCCAAAGCCACCGAAAGTCGAGGGGGGAGGAGACAGGTAGCAGCAGGGCTCTTGATTAATACACCATCACGGTCCAAGGGGCAGGGCAGGGGCTCCGGAGTAAGTGCCACCCGCAGGCGCTGGGCTACTGAAATGTCAGTGCTTTCGAGGGTCCTGCCGGGATTCTCATGGTTGCCTGCTTCAAGCCGTTCTTTGGCGAAGACAACATTCTGCGGGGAGTGTCCTTCCAGCTTAGATCCTTTGGCAGCGAGCTGGGAAAGAGAGAAGGGCAAGGATTAGCGTGAGGAACAGGCAGGTGCGATTCTGCAGAGCTTTTAAAGAGGCGTGGGCAAGGGATGGTAGAGGTATGCCAAGAGCAGAGCACTTGGCAACCAGGGCACCTGGGTTCTACGCTGAGCTCTGGGGGGAGCATGATCCATCTAGCAGGTAGGGTGGAGGAGGGGATGGGTACCCAAGAGTCTTGGGCTCTATTTCCAGTTCAAAGAAACAATCTTCGGCAACTCACTGAACCCCTGAGGCCTCGGCTTTCCCTCTCCTGTCTAGCGGATGGATACTTACCATGCAGGAGGGGGAGACCTAGCTCAGTATTGCCCCTGGCATATGCTGGGACCCTGGTGTGGAGGAAGCTAATGAAGTGGGATCCTGCACAGGAGCAGAGGAAACCATCTGGGGCTGCTCACTGCTCTCAGCTACTCTCTCAGCTGGGCTGAGGCAGCAGGCTGGCTTGCTCTTGGTGAGAGCTGGTGGGTGGGGGTTTTGTGCACAGCCCTTTCAGGAAGAGACACTCCTTCCTTTGTCATGGGAAACCAAGGAGTAGAGACACCCAGAGGCTGAAACTCCACCAGCCCCAGGAGCATCCTGAGTTTCTACCAACAGGAGCAGAGAGGCAGGCCCTGCTTGGGGAAAGCTGCTTCATGCTCCTGAGCCCAGGGGTGTGCAGCAGAGGGGCAAGTGCCCCCTTCCTCCAGATCTCTCACAGTTAACCCTGGGGAGCACCTGCCAGGTCACTGGAGAAAACAAGGCAGCCTGGAAGGTGACTGAGGCACTGGACTACCCAGGGGAGTGCAGAGGCAGAGGCATAGGCAGCAGGGACACTGCTTGCTGGCTGTACCTGACCGCTCTAAACCGGCTAAGGAAGAAGATGAGTCACTGGATTCTTCAGAGCAAGGAAAGCAAAAAGCACCCTGGGGTTTCCTAAGAAGCAGAAAGAAGATATCCCTCCTCGCCCAGCATGAAGGCTTTCTGGGTCAAAACCCCTACGTGCACCAGGAGGTTCAGACCAAAGCCATCCCAAGCCAAGAACATTGTGGCATGCTCAAATTCTGGTCCAGCTGCCTGTTTTGATTAGACCTTGTCTGATCTGTGCAGATGGCCCATGCAATCTACAGCCGTGGGGTGTGATGTCTAACCCATTTCAGATCAGAGTCTTTACCTGGATGCAGCCCACACTCCCGGTACCCCTCCTCTGGGGAGATTTCTTAGCACCCATTTGAGGCAGGTGCGACTCACACTGAGCAAGCCCCTGCTCCCTACCGTCAGGCATAGCTGAATTGAAGATCTGCACTGAGAGGCCTGCACGAGCGCATAAGGAGCCTCATCTGTATAAACAGCCCAGATTCTGCTTACTGCCCACCTGTTACTAATGAGGTTTGCTTTTAATGGAGAAACTGGAACACGACTGGGGGGGGGGGGGGGGGGGGGGGTGGGGGGTGGTGGGGGGAGTGTTTAGTGCTGTTTGGGGGCTACTGTGAGAACATGGAAGGCTTGGGGTGCCTGGTGTTGGTCCAACTCTGTTGCTTGGACTGTGAGCTCCTGACACCAGCCCCTTGGTTGTGCATTTGTACAGCACCAAGCATCATTGGGTGCCAGCCCACAAGGTCTACTGTAGTACAAATAAATAATACTGCCCATGAAAGAATAGCCCCAATAGAAACCTCCTTAAGAACTCTGTCCTGACCTCACATGGAGGTGAGATCCAGGCTTCCCACGGGTTGCAGCCTAGGAATGAATACCCCTGCCCTTCCTCTTCCCCTTGTGAAAGATGGGGCAAGAACCAGAGCTAGTCAACGAGGTAGAGAAAAGGCAGCATAGAGCAGAGCCCCGGGTAGCAGGGACTTCACTCAGGAACAGCCAAGGCAGCCTACCCTGGCGCAGAGGGAGCTGGGTGGCAGTGCACATAAAAGTGACTTGTCCCATCTTGCCAACTGCAAGCAGCCCTGAGCTACCCTGGGAGCAGAGGGGGGCCCAGAAAGGCACAGGTGGAAAGGAATTGCAGCTGCTAGGTTGCAGAGTTAATTAGCAGGTGCTGGGATGAGGCGAAGGGTTCCTATGGCAGTGGCAGCACAGAGGCTCTCCTGGGGGCCAGCTGTCAGCAGCAGGTGCAGGCATCTCCATTGTTCCGGCAGGGAAGTAGCAAAGTTCAGAGATCCTCGCCAGTGAGAGGTGCGGGTGCGGCGGCCTAGAGGTCCAGGCTGCCAGGGCAGGGGCAAGGGTCTTGCTCTCATGGCACGAGGCCAGGGCTTGGACCCAGAGTCAGGCCTGCTACAGCTCCCTAGTCAACCTGGGCCAGGCCACTTGAAGTGCTCAAAAGTATCCAAGGGACTTAGGAGCCCAAGTTCTACTTTCCAAAGTGGTGCAGGCACTCAGCCTAACTCACAGGTGTCTAAATACCACACCTCCCAGGCCATGCTGGAAACTGGGATTTAGGCAGTCTTAAAAAAAAATGCTGCCCTTGGCTGCGCACAAATCGGAATCATAGAAAACTAGGGTTGGGAAGGACCTCAGGCAGTCATTTTTTACAACCCCGTTCTCAAAGCTGGACCATCCTGAATTATATTATCCCAGGCAAGGCTCCGTCTAGCCGGGTCTTAAAAGCTTCCAAGGATGGAGATTCCACCACCTCTCTGGGTAACTGGTTCCAGTGTTTTACTACCCCCCTAGTGAGAAAATTCTTCCCCCTATCTAACTTAAACTTCCTTTGCTGCAACTTGAGACCATTGCTCCATGTTCTGCCATCTGTCACCAAATCTAGCTCCATCCTTTGGAACTCCCCTTCAGGGAGTTGAAGGCTGCTATTAAATCTGCCCCCCCCCCACCCCAAGTCCTTTCTTCTCTAGACTAAGCCCAGTTCCCTCAGTCTGTCCTCAGAAGTCATGTCCCCCAACCATTTTTGTTACCCTCCGCTGGACTCTCGCCAACTTGTCCACATCCTGTCTGTAGCGGGGGGCCCAAAACTGGGCACCACGCTCGATGTGGCCTCACCAGTCCCGAAAAGAAGGGAATAATCATTTCCCTTGATCTGCTGGCAACGCTCCTACTAATGCAACCCAGTATGTTCTTAGCCTTCTTGGCAACAAGGGCACACTGTGGGCTCATATTCATCTTAGTATCCACCGTAACCCCCAGGTCCTTTTCTGCAGAGCTGCTGCTTAGTCAGTTGGTTCCCAGGCTGTACCAGGGCATGGGACTGATCCATCCTATGTGCAGGACTTTACACTTCTCCTTGTTGAATCCCATGACATTTCTTTTTGTTCAATCCAAAGAACTTCCTGGATTGTCTGTGCACTGCAGTATTGCTCTCCCAGCAGATGTCAGGGTGCTTGAAGTCCCCCATGAGAACCAGGGCCTGTGGTCCCCTACGAGAATCAGGAAACTTCTGCTAACCATTTGAAGAAAGCCTCACCCAGCTCGCCCTCCTGGTTTGGTGGTCTATAGCAGACCCCTACCATGATATCACCCTCTGACCCTAACCCAGAGACTTTCAATAGGCCCATCTCCAGTTTCATACTGGAGCTCTGAGCAATCATACAGCTCTGATACATACAGTACAACCCCTCCTCTCCCCTGCCTGTCCTTCCCGAACAGTTTATACTCATCCACGACGGTGCTCCAGTCATGTGAGCTATCCCATCCAGTCTGTGATTCCAATCGTGTCAACCCTCCCAGCGCCCTGAGCCACAGTCCAGCCTCTGCTCTCCGGGCTGGGAACGTGTCCTCCCAACATGCACATACAGCACCTGCCAAGATGGGGTTCTGGTCCCACTGGACCTCTACAGTGATCGCCATGCAAGGAATAGCTGGCCTAGGGGCTGAGCGGTAAGGAGCGGTCCTGCCCCTGTGGGAGGCGCAGGCCTGAAGCAGCACCAGCCAGGCACAGTCAAGCAATTCCAGCCTTTCCTTAGCTTCCAGCATGCAGCAGCAGGTCACCCATCCCCAGTGGGGGCTGGCCGCTCCCACCTCCTAGTGCCGCCAAGCAAAACTTTTCATTCAGCAGCTGCGGTTCAACTCTTCTTTTTCCTCCGTGACGTGGCCCTGAAGGGAATATTTACCATGCCTGTGGGGGCCGGGTGGAACTTCTCTGATAACAACAGGCAAAAAGCAGAGCAGCCGCATCCCTTGCTGGGCAAGCCATGGGACACAGCATACATGGACACATGGTGGTGGTCCCAGTAAACAAGGGGTGGGTTGAGGGGAGAGCACCTGTGAGCCAGGAGCTGGTGTAGATATGGGGTCAGGATCATCCTCAAGCCTGCACCCTCAAAGCAAGTCACTTCTTGCCTCAGTTTCCCATTACAAGCAATAGGCACATGCTCTCTCTACCTGACAGTGGAGAAGCAAGGTTTAGTTAAGATGAGGCACTCAGAGCTCAGGATCTCCAAGCTCTCCTAGGTACATCACAGAGCACTTTTCTGAGACAGTTCTTTAAGAAGCCAGGGAGCACCGAGTCCAAGGGGCCAGGCATTAGACTAGGAGAGTGGGGTTCAACTCTTGGCTGTCACTGACTTGTCATGAAGCCTTAGACAGATCACTGTCCCTCCCTGGGCCTCAGTTTCCCCATTTGTGGAATGGGGTTTGGGATAATCATCCACCCCTGCAAAGCACTTGGAGATCTGTGGATGGTAAGACCTACACATTAGCATGACTGGTACATATACTAATAGTCCTTTGCTCTTGAGCATGAGATCGAAGGCCCCAGGCCTGACACCAAGAACCAGCACTGCCCACAGAAGCATGAGGGGCTGGTGAACATCAGAGAGGATTCCCCTGAACAAACCTCACTCTCTCCCCACACCGTCTGCCTTGCCAAGCCCCTGACTCCCTGTAGGGGCACTGCATCCAAAGTGGAGGTGTTGGCTGCACCACAGCTCTGCCCAAATCCTTCTGCTCCCCGTGCCCTAGGCACTGATGAGCTGGCAGTGCCCCCACCTGGCACTCAATCCACCCAGTACCATGTCACCCATCACAGGCAGTG